CCACGACGCCGCCAGAGCAAGAGGTTTAGTGACTGGTGACGAGGAATACACAATTTGCATGGAAGAAGCAAGCGGCGTCTTTCCAGGTGGCAAGTNCAGCAGTTGGTGACTTATTTTACCTCCGGCTTTTACTGCACACCGTGCCGGGAAGGTCTTTTGCCGACCTCCTCCTCGTGCCTCAGCCTGACTCAGCTCCATTTCAACATAATACCTACCACGACGCCGCCAGAGCAAGAGGTTTAGTGACTGGTGACGAGGAATACACAATTTGCATGGAAGAAGCAAGCGGCGTCTTTCCAGGTGGCAAGTCAGCTTCGCGCGCTGTTCGTCACCCTCATATTAGACGGTGCCTCTGCACCAAAATTGTGGTCAGAATTTCAGCCCAATTTGATTGAGGATTTGACGCTAATCATGACATCTCAAGACTCCATCCAACGCGCATTAAATGAAATAGACTTGAAGCTGCAATTACATGGAAAATCAAACGAACAAGTCAACCTGCCTGCAGCTAGACACTCAACTACAGAAATCCAAAGAATGAGAGAATCATTTGACGTAAATAAGTGTAAGGAATACGCTGAAGACCACGAGCGCAACCTTATCGCGGAGCAACATCACGTACACAAAACCATCATCGACTCTGTCACTACCGGAGAAGAAAAACCATACATGATTGACGCCCCAGCTGGCACAGGAAAAACATACACAGAAAAGTGCCTTGCCGCCAAACTTAGAGGAGACGGAAAAATGGTGCTCACCGTCGCCTCCACTGGGATTGCCGCTCTGCAGCTTCCGGGTGGATGGACAGCCCACTCGTAAACTTCCAATGGACGACAAAATGACTCCATCATGCGTGTGCAACATCAGCGCACAAACCCAAAGGGCTGCCTTGCTACGATCCAGCGACCTCATCATATGGGATGAACTACCTATGACCCACCGATACTGCGTTGAAGCTCTCGATAGAACCCTAAAAGACCTCATGCGAAACGACAGACTGTTCGGTGGAAAAACCATTCTGTTTTCAGGTGATTGGAGGCAAACTGGACCAATCGTTAAGCATGGGTCTCCAACAGATACGGTTGACGCTGCTGTGATTTCTAGCCATCGTTGGAAACACATTTCCCGCCTAAGGTTGACCAAGTCTCAAAGAGATAAGGACGACCCAGCCTACGCTTCCTTCGTCAGAAATGTAGGAGAAGACAAATTGCCAACGTCCACCCTACCTACCTGACGGACTCAACCTCATACCTCTCACAAATCACTCAAGCGATTCCGCTGACCAATTCCAACTAAAGTACACAACAGACTTCAACGAATTAGTTCATTTCGTCTACCCTGACATGTCTGAAGACGCGTCCACATGGAGTGACCGCGCAATTTTGGCTACAACAAACAACGCCATAGACCGTTCAAACAAAATAATTTCCGACGAACGACCTGGACGTACTGTATCATTTTACAGCTCCGACTCTCTCATCAAAGATGAAAGTTCTACATCCACAGCTTTCGCTGCACCTGAACACCTCAATCAGCTCCACGTCTCAGGCATACCTCCTCATGAACTACAGCTAAAATCCAACGGCCTTGCTATGTTAGTAAGAAACCTCAACTTTGCAGAGGGCTTGGTGAACGGCCAAAAGTGCATTTTGAAAGGCGTGTCCCCAAACAGTCGCGTCATTCAGGTCGAGCTTCTTACCGATGACTTGCCTCACCCCATCGTCTTAATCCCCAGAATAAATTTCACCGCACAAGTGGGAAGAAATGGAATAAGCTTCATGCGTGTACAATTCCCTCTGCGATCTGCTTACGCTATGACTATTAACAAAAGCCAAGGTCAAACGCTCAAAAAAATTGGGCTGGATCTGCGTTCCTCACCCTTCGCCCACGGGCAGCTCTACGTCGCTTTAACTCGAGCACAAAAACGATCAACCGTTATGGTACTCCTGCCGCACTCTCAAGTCGTAGATGGAGTTCCTTACACTGAAAATGTCGTCTACGCTCCATTCACCGAAGCCGCAACAGGCGAGACCAACAACCTCAATCCGCACAGTACACCCCCACCTCTCCTCCCGCTTCCCTTAAACCCGCCTCCCCTTCTACCCGCGCCTTCTTCAAACCCGCCGATTCCTCCTCCTCCGCCCCCTCCCTACTGGACCGTCCAATCCATACTAGGAGATGGTAACTGTGGCTTTAGGGCCATCGCCCGACGCGTACTTGGAGACCCTGAATTACACTACCAAATTCGGGCTCAACTTGTGCAATACATCTCAAACAACAGACAAAACAATGACCTCAACATTTACAACGGAATACAAACAGAACTGCTTTACGGCGTGGGTCTTGCTCCTTTTTATTACTATTCTTATGACGACTATGTGGCCAAAATGTCCATGCCAAATACGTATATGGGACAGCCTGAAATAACCGCTGCTTTAAATGTATACATATATCCATTCACGTTCACTTCAACCAATCCACCTTACCTCCCCCTCAATACATACTAATAAACGAACTTCACCTGCGTTACACCGCCAGCAGCCGACACTATGATACCTTCTTAGTCATGCACCCTCCTCACTACCAACCCGCATTGAACCCTTCCTAACATTGCGCCCTCCTTCATCCCACTACCAGGATGGACCATTCATCGGCAGGCGGCACACCTTTAACCTACCATGAAATGGTCTTCGCATCAGAACAAAACGACATGGGACCGGACTTCCATGCACACCACCTTCTTCGTGAATACGAGCAACACCAGGCTGAATTCGACAGCTACTGCCAAAATTTATGGAATTGGTTGCAGAATGAGCTGAGGGTTTTATTTAGCGCCTTGCTGCTAAACAATGGTTGCTTTATTAAGAATCACTGATTGATTTCGAGTTCCACTGTTTCCTCGTGATAGATATAATNCCTTGCTGCTAAACAATGGTTGCTTTATTAAGAATCACTGATTTCGAGTTCCACTGTTTTCTCGTGATAGATTGAACATCTAAGTACAAAGACATTAGCTAGCGCGAACATAGACTTGTCGCGTATTCAAACCCAGTCTTCTACAGACTCTGTTGTGATGTTGTTGGTAGACCCCTCGGCGCCTTTTCTTCGATACGGTAGAGGCCGGCGAGATTTGATTTCCGACTTATGTGCGTACATAATATGAAGGGTACCGCTTACGTAGCAGAATGTTCCGCTTCTGGGCGTTTCTATAGGGTTGTTACTGTAGACATTATCTGTGATGTTTTCAAATTACAACTAACTGCAGTACCAATGGAACGCTTCAATCAGTTTTCCCCCTCGTTTGTGGGTACTCAGCGTTACTTTTACCCTCAAGACGAGTTGGATGCCGCCGTCAACGCGCGACANCTACATCCCACAACTCATACACATCAAGATCATCCCCACTTGGTATCAGTCCATCCCCCGACCATGCACCAACATTTCGACCATGACCCTCTTTTCTGAGGACGGGGGGGCCGTAGGCCCCCGCGTCCGGGGCCTTGTACGAAGTACAACAACATAGTATTTATACTGTCACTTACATCGTAAAAATATCTCCTCTTCAATTTCAAATAATAAATAAAACCGATGACAATCCTCATGGTATCCAACATGCGCTCGTAAGCTTGCTAAAGTACTACTGCGTTGATGTCCTGTTGTAAAAGCTGAAATCCAACAAATTCTTTGATCCATGCTCCATCTCCGTGTTGGAAACGCCCTTTCTTCTCCGTTCATGATAGTCCATTTGTCAAATACTATAATGTAGTAGTCTAGTATAGGGTACCCTTCAGCAGCGGCTCGATTTTATTTTTGTGGACGAGGGTAACAACACCGATTTCGCGTGTCTTGGCGACATCGGCTGCATGAGATGCCTTCGCCGACCGGGCGAAGGGTATTTCAATGCGACGCCACCGGGTCAAGTGAAACACTGCTGCTGCTGTAGACATGTCCTAGCGCATGCACCCGCAGTCAGTGTTGAGCATGTTTTGTTGGGTGTTGTTTCAGATTCAATATAGGCCATCATCAATCAATCACAGACTGTTCATCGTCCACTTTTTGTACATCCAGATACTACTGCTGTACATTGCTGCTGTAGCGTGCAGTAATGTTCTCCGACATGTCGTGTTTAGCGCTCAACAAGAACATGCGACCTTGCGTCAACCGTGGCATGCGTCTGTTGCTGCTAGCGTGTTTGCGGCCTACGCCACTTATTTATCGGGTGAGACTGTTGTGGTGATGTA